GCTGGGCTTTTTCTACAAAAAGAGCCCGCGGCAAGATCTAATAAGATGGGTACATCCTGGGCCATCCGGGTCAAAGGCAAGAGACGTATGGTTTGCCCTTGTCTGCCTCTGCGCAGCAACCCTGGACTTCTGTCTGGTCTCCCATCCAAGGACTAACCAGGACCGACCCTGCTTAGCATCCGAGATCTGACGGGATCAGGCCGGCCTGGGCCATCTGGGTCTAAGGCAAGAGATAATCAGAAGTGGTTTTTGCCATTTTCTGCCTCTACAGAGGAGCCCTGGACTACTTCCTTGCTGGTCTCCCACCTAGGTGCTAAGCAGGGCCGACCCCGGTTGGCTTCCGAGAAAGGTCGGATTCCCCGCGCACCACAGGCTAAGCCTTCCTCTCCCTCCCTTTCCGCCAGTGACACCATGGACGAGGACGAGGACCTCTACGACTGCGTGGAGAACGAGGAGGCGGAAGGAGACGAGATCTACGAGCACCTGATGAGGTCAGAGCCCTGCGCCATGCCGGTGAGTGGCCGCGGGGGGGGGGAGGCTTCTCTCCAGCCACCTCCTGTGAGGCAGAATTATCCGCTCCTGCCGCATCCGCTGGCGCCACAAATCCGTGCCCACCAAGACACATTTCTCTTGAAAATAGTTTCGGAGGGAGCAGTGTTGGCTTGCGGTAGGAGAGCTGGATTCAACTCCAGTAGTACCTAAAGGTAAAGGTTTCCCTTGCTGGAAAGCCAGTCGAATCCAACTCTAGGGGTGCGGCGCTCATCTCTGTTTCCAAGCCGCAGAGCCAGCACTGTCCGAAGACGTCTCCATGGTCATGTAGACGCCGAGGCGCACGGAACGCTGTTTACCTTCCCACCGAAGCGGTCCGTATTTATCTACTTGCCATTTCTTGCTTTCGAATGGCTAGGTTGGCAGGAGCTGGGGCCAGAGATGGGAGCTCACTCCGTCGCGCGGCACTCGGGTCTCGAACTGCCGAACTACCGGCCGTCCGACCTTCCCGTCGGCAGTTCAGCATCTTAACCACTGGAGCCGCCTTAGAGACCAACAAAATTTTCAAGCATGAGCTTCTTAGGCTCAATTCTCTCTTGATCCAATACCATGAGGTTAACGGATGTCTACTCCATGTGGCTGAATGTGGGGCCTTCCATGAAGACAGTTTCAAGTGTTATTGGAATTACCATCTTGGTCTTCCATAGAAGAGCCAAACTGGAGCCTAGGAGAGCCTTAGAGACCAACGGGATTTTGCGAGGTGTGAGCTTCCGAGCGTCAAAGCTCCTCTGGTGCGATTTCTCTCGAATGAATTCCAGTGTATTTTTACAGTCCGCAATGTGCTCTGTCCTTGCGACAGCCTTGCGATGTTCTATGGAGAAGGTTTTAGGCGCTTTAGAAAGACCCAATAATCCAACGGGGTCTTGAAAGGATGGGATGTGGGCAGCCTGGCTCTTACGTTCACTGCTGGTCGACGTACCCTGTTATGGTGCCATATTGGACCGCTGTTCTTAAACTGATTTATGACATTACTGGGCACAATATCCCTAGGAGGCCAGAACCTGTCTTGCTTCATTTACACACAGATCTGCCCTCACAGAGGAGGGAGAGCTTGTACCCGAATAAAACTTGGTTCTAAAGGTGCCACTGGACTGTTTTGGATTGCTAGCTATGGGGGGCGGGGGCGGAGAACACACAGATCTGTCCTCGCAGAGGAGGGAGAGCTTGTACCTGAATAAAACTTGGTCTTAAAGGTGCCACTGAACTGTTTTGGATTGCTAGCTTGTGTGTGGAGGGGAACGTGCAGATCTGCCCTCACAGAGGCAGGAGAGCTTGTACATGAAGGCGGGCTGGGGGGGGGGCTCTGCAACTTATCTGGCTGCTTCTTGCTCCTCGTGGCCTGACTGAGGGCTGCTGGGAGCAGGAGGCAGGGTTTGTTGCGTGTGCCCGCCCCCTGGGCTCCTTACTGCCAGAGCTCCGCTCCTGTGCGCTCCCGCAGGAAATGACCCCTGAGCGCCAGGGTTTTGAAGACCTGAGCAAGATGTCCTCCAGGCCACTGCCTCATCTTCCAGTACTCCTTCAGACCGAGGGGGAACTCACCAGCAGCGGGGGCTGTCCCCAGTGACATAATGATGTTGCCGCCATCTCTGACATTATCCCCACTGAGTTAATGGTTGAGGGTGCCTTCGGATATGGGTCTTTGTGGGTGTAGCCCCACACTCTGTCCACTCAGCCACGGCGCTCATTTCGTAACCCCAAATCTCCTCTGTGTTGTGTGTTCTACAGCAGAAGATGACCGAGCTGGACAAGAGGAAATGCTGCTTACAGGAGATCCAGCAGACAGAGGAGAAGTACACGGGCACGCTCGAATCCATTCACCAGGTACTGTTTCCTAGGGTTGCCAACCTCAAAGTGGGGGCTGGAGATCTCCTGGAACGGCAGCTGACCTCCAGACAACAGGGATCAGTTCCCCTGAAGAAAACGGGTGTTTTGGAGGGAGGGCTCCCTGGTATTATACCCCTGCTGAGGTCCCTCCCCTCCCCAAACATTGCACCCCCTAGGCTCTGCCCTCAAATCTCCAGGGGGTTTCCAGCACTGAGCTGGCAACCCTACGGATGCCCCGTGGCTTCCTCCTTCTCGGCCAGTCTCTGTATGGTAGCTTCATACAGCTACCTTTGGGAAGGTGAATTGGGGGGAAGGAAGCCAGAGACAATCTACTCAGGCCTTTCTGGGTTCCTCCTGATCACTTGTGTATTGGGCTTAATTGATGTGGTTAGTCCAGTTACCACTAGTTAGCAGAGTGCTTACATGAAGTTACAAACGCAGCGGAAGTTTGCTGGGCCCATAACTGATTGGGGCTGACTGGTGTGGTTAGTCCAGTTACCACTAGTTAGCAGAGTGCTTACATGAAGTGACAAACGCAGCAGAAGTTTGCTGGGCCCATAATCGATTGGGGTTAACTGGTGTGGTTAGTCCAGTTACCACCAGTGTTCCCTCTAAGCTGAGTTAGTGTGAGCTAGCTCACAGTTTTTTAGCCTCCGGCTCACATATTTTTGTCTCAGCTCAGGAAGGGTGGCTCCAGAGCAAACTAATTTATGCAGTAGCCGAATCACTCGCTCACAACTTTCATGCCAGTAGCTCACAAAGTAGAATTTTTGCTCACAAGACTCCACAGCTTAGAGGGAGCATTGGTTACCACTAGTTAGCAGAGTGCTTAAATAAAGCGACAAACACAGCGGAATCTTGCTGGGCCCATAACCTATTGGGGCTGACTGGTGTGGTTAGTCCAGTTACCACTAGTTAGCAGAGTGCTTAAATAAAGCTACAAACACAGCAGAAGCTTGCTGGGCCCATAACTGATTGGGGTTGACTGGTGTGGTTAGTCCAGTTACCACTAGTTAGCAGAGTGCTTAAATAAAGCGACAAACACAGCGGAATCTTGCTGGGCCCATAACCTATTGGGGCTGACTGGTGTGGTTAGTCCAGTTACCACTAGTTAGCAGAGTGCTTAAATAAAGCTACAAACACAGCAGAAGCTTGCTGGGCCCATAAGTGATTGGGGTTGACTGGTGTGGTTAGTCCAGTTACCACTAGTTAGCAGAGTGCTTACATAAAGCTACAAATGCAGAGCATCACTTTACCAGGTCACCCAGCTTACAAAGCTACACTGAGCCACGTTGCAAGTTTAGAAGAGAAATACTTCTCTTTGTATTTGAGAGTACACTTAGGATAGGAAAGGGCAGAGCCAGGATAGATACAAGCTTACTAGCTAAAGGATGGAAGCAGATGGTGAGAGGCCCATCTGCCTCGTAGTGCCAAAAGAGGACCACATGCCTCTCTCTTGGTGCGTGCGTGCAGAGAGAGAGTTCATTTTCTTCGGGACATGACAACTGAAAGAGAGAACAGAAGGAAGGGGAAACTGGTCCCTGAGAACACAGTCTACATTTCAAAGGAAACAGTGGCAGAGGAGTAGACACAGGGAGAAAGATCTGTGTGCCTATCTAGCTATCTAGCCTCTCATGCCACAAAGTCTGGAGGCGGGTGCAGGGGACATCCAGGGCCGGCCCACCCACTAGGCGAACTAGACTTTTGCCTAGGGCGGGCCAATCATGAGGCCGCCAAACTGCACCCCCCCTGCCAAAAGCTGCCTGCAGAGGGCTCGGGGGTGGCGGGGGCTTTTGTTGGGGGGGCCCAGTTCGGGCCTCCCTGGACTTCCCAGGAGAGGTTCCTCCCCCCAAAAAATATGTGCTCTAGCAAGTGATTAGAGAAGTGGTTTGCCACTGCCTTCCTCTACTGTAGAACCAGATCAGGAGCAAAGACACTGGGATCGTGGGCTCTCGAACCCCTACAGGTCAGAGCACAAAAAGACACCTTAAAAGCTATTAAAATCAGAATAAAACCATATTGTTTAAAAATGAAAACCAATTTAAAATTAGCCATTTTGAATTTTGTGTTTTCCATTCTTCCTAAAATGGTGCGCGCACAGGGGGAGGGGGCGCCAGAAGGTAGCCTCGCCTAGTGTGCAAAAAAACCTGGAGCCGGCCCTGGGGATATCGCACCTGGAACTCCACCCCCCCTGCGGTTGCTTGAGTACTGCTAGCCAGCCCCTTGAATTGTGCTTCTTACTGGATCCTTTCCCTTCTTTCCAGCATTTCATGAAACCGCTGCAGCAGTTCTTGAGGCCCCAGGACATGGAGAATGTCTTTATTAATCTCGAGGTAAGAGGCTCCCATGGCTGTGTTGGCCGCCTTGGTTTCCAGTGTGGTCCTTCCCAGGTGCCTGGCGTGGTGGGGTGGCTGGAGGGGTGGGCCAGGACCTGGGGGAACCAGGTTCGAATCCCTGCTTTGCTCTGGAAGCTTGCTCGGGTGACCTTGGGCTAGTTGTAACCTCTCAGTCGAGCCTGCCTCTCAAAGCTGTGGTGAGGATAAGGTAGAGGAGGAGACCTCCAGCCATTCCGCAGAGCCGTGAAAACGGGGCTGTTTTGTCAGGCGTCCCAGTAATAATAGAGTCCATCGGTCGTGCCGCACTTGCACTTTATTATATATGAAGGTTAGGCAGAGATAGAAAAATAATAAAAAATACTGATGTTAAATAAAAAGTAAATATAAAAAAGTAAACTTGCAAGAGTCTCCAGTATGCTGGTTTTAAAATTCTATGTAAGCCACCCTGAGCCGCTTCGGTGGGAGGGCGGGTTAGAAATCTAATTAATAAATTAATAAATAAGAGGGTGATAAACTGTTCAGAGTCTCTATTAGGAAAGGGGGATATCGATAAAAACAAGCAGATACAGGTGGGCTCTTTTTGTAGAAAAAGCCCAGCAGGAACTCATTAACATAATAGGCCACACCTGACAGCAGAAACTCATTAGCATATTAGGCCACACCCCCTGACAGCACAGCTCGTTGGCATATTAGGCCACGCCCCCATGCCTTCCCTTGGGGAGCCTGGGCAAGCCTCCCCTTGAAGGGAAGGAAAGGCAGTTTAAACTGCCTTCCCTTGGCTTGCTCAGGCGTCCTGTGGCTGCTGGGAACCCAGGCCAACCCGCCCC